ACAAACAGAGAGCCAAATCATGAGTGAGCTCCCATTCACAATTGCTTCAAAGAGAATAAAATACCTGGGAATCCAACTTACAAGGGATATGAAGGACCTCTTCAAGGAGAACTACAAACCACTGCTCAACGAAATAAAAGAGGACACAAACAAATGGAAAAGCAGTCCATGCTCACGGATAGGAAGAATCAATATCGTGAAAATGGCCATACTGCCCAAGGTAATTTATAGATTCAATGCCATCCCCATCAAGCTACCAATGACTTTCTTCACAGAATTGGAAAAACTACTTTAAAGTTCATATGGAACCAAAAAAAGAGCCTGCATTGCCAAGACAATCCTAAGCCAAAAGAGCAAAGCTGGAGGCATCATGCTACCTGACTTCAAACTATACTACAAGGCTACAGTAACCAAAACAGCAAAGTACTGACACCAAAACAGAGATATAGACCAATGGAACATAACAGAGCCCTCAGAAAAAATGCCACCCATCTACAACCATCTGATCTTTGACAAACCTGACAAAAACAAGAAATGGGGAAAAGATTCCCTATTTAATAAATGGTGCCTGGAAAATTGGCTAGCTATAAGTAGAAAGCTGAAACTGGATCCCTTCTTTACACCTTATAAAAAATTAATTCAAGATGGATTAAAGACATAAATGTTAGACCTAAAACCATAAAAACACTAGAAGAAAACCTAGGCAATACCATTCAGGACATAGGCATGGGCAAGGACTTCATGTCTAAAACACCAAAAGCAAAGGCAACAAAAGCCAAAATTAACAAATGGGATCTAATTAAACTAAAGAGCTTCTGCACAGCAAAAGAAACTACCATCAGAGTGAACAGGCAACCTACAGAATGGGTGAAAATTTTTGCAATCTACTTATCTGACAAAGGGCTAATATCCAGAATCTACAAAGAATACAAACAAAATTTCAAGAGAAAAACAAACAACCCCATCAAAAAGTGGTCAAAGGATATGAACAGACACTTCTCAAAAGAAGACATTTATGCAGCCAACAGACACATGAAAAAATGCTCATCATCACTGGTCATCAGAGAAATGCAAATCAAAACCACAATGAGATACCATCTCATACCAGTTAGAATGGTGATCATTAAAAAGTCAGGAAACAACAGATGCTGGAAAGGGTGTGGAGAAATAGCAACGCTTTTACACTGTTGGTGGGAGTGTAAACTAGTTCAACCATTGTGGAAGACTTTGACCTTGGTCACCATGGCCATGACCTGGGCCAACTCATGATGAGTAAGAGGATGGCAAGTTGAGGCAAGCTTGGCAGCCCTGATATTCCACAGTGAAGCTCAGAGGTGAGTTGGGTCATCAGTTTGTTAGAGAGTAGAGAGCTTTTTGAAGGCTTTCTGAAAGCAAGCACTATTTCCTTCCTCCATCGACTTAATGGTCAAGAGAACTTCTTCTGATAAGAGCTGCTCACAGAACACATTAGAAAGAGAGCAGGCTCTCTTGCAAAGCTCATAGCATTTCCCCCAAAATCTTCCTGAGTGAGCTTTTGAAAACACACCTCCATCCCTTTATTTATATAGTCTAAAACCTGTTAAGGCAGCTATAGCAGGTACTTTCTTAGGGTCCATGAGCCTCTTGGGATTGATGAAAATGTAATGTGTATGAAAAATTTTTTGGTGAAAATCATCAAAAGCTTTCTTTAGATTCTCAATGAAGTTCTTTACCTACAAACCTAAAAAAAAAAAAAAAACTCAAAACAAAACACAACAACAAACAACAACAACAACAAAGAAAGATTGGTCTAGAGAATAGAGAGTAAAAGTCTCAGCTCCTTGGCATGGTAAAAAAACTCATCACAACCTAGTCCTGTCCCACCCCAGCCACACTTTCTGTGCATTGTGAAATCTAGGCATTTGGTACTCCATTCTTTTTTTTTTTTTTTTTTTGAGATGGAGTCTCACTCTATCGTCCTGGCTGGAGGGCAGTGGCATGATCTCAGTTCACTGTAACATCCGCCTCCCAAGTTTAAGCAATTCTTCTGCCTCAGCCTCCCGACTAGCTGGGACTACAGGTGAGTGCCACCACACCCAGCTAATTTTTGTATTTTCAGTAGAGACGGGGTCTCACCATATTGGCCAGGCTGGTCTCGAACTCCTGACCATGTGATCCGCCCACCTTGGCCTCCGAAAGTGCTGGGATTACAGGCATGAGCCACCGCGCCTGGCGGTATTCCATTCTTGAAAAGCCTCGTGGACTATTATCCTTAAGGATATTTGCATGTACAATCAATGTGATCTTTTCAAGTAACCAATTTTGATTTTGTTGATTTTCTTTATTGTTTTAGTATAGTCTATTTCATTTACTTCTGCACTAATATTTATTTAGTTTTTCTTTCACTTGCTTTTGGTTTAGTTCACTCTTCCTTTTTTAGCTTCTTAAGGTGAAAGGCTAAATTATTGCTTTGAGATCTTCTTTTGTGATATAGGGGGTTGTAGTTATAAATTTCCCTCTAAGCCCTGTTTTTGCTGCTTTCCACACATTTTGTTATGTTGTGCTTTTGTTTTCATTCATCTTGAAGTGTTTTCTAATTTTTCTTGTGATTACTTTTTTGACTCATTGGTTATTTAGGTGTGTGTTATTTAATTTCCACGTATATGTGAATTTCCCAAATTTTCTTTTGTTGCTGATTTCAAATTTCATTCACTTGTGGTCAGAGAACATACTTCGTATAATTTTAATTCTTTTATTTACACTTGTTTTATGTGCTAACATATGGTCATTCATGAAGAATATTTTGTATGTGCTCAAGAAGAAAGTATATTCTAGTGTTGTTGCATGGAGTGTTCTATTATAGATGTTATTAGGTCTAGTTAGTTTATAGTGTCCTTCAAGTCTCCTATTTCCTCATTGACTTTTTGTCTGGTTGTTCTATCCATTATTGTGGGTATTGAAGTATCCAACTGTTATTGTCGAATTGTCTGTTTTTCCCTGATATGATAGTTTCTGCTTTATATATTTTGGGGCTCTGTCAGGTGCAGGTGCATATATTTATAATTATTATATATTCTTGATGGATTGACTCTTTTTTTTTTTTCCAAGATGGAGTCTATCTCTGTCACTCAGGATGGAGTGTAGTGGCGTGATGTCAGCTCACTGCAAACTCCGCCTCCTGGGCTGAAACGATTCTCCCACCTCAGCCTCCTGAGTAGCTGGGATTTCAGGCACGTGCCACCATGCCTGACTAATTTTTGTATATTTAGTAGAGAAGGGGTTTATCATATTGGTCAGGCTGGTCTTGAACTCCTGATATCAAGTGATTCACCCACCTCAGCCCTCCAAAGTGCTGGGATTACAGGTGTAAGCCAACATGCCTGGCAGGATTAACTCTTTTATCATTATAAAATGTCCTACTTTGTCTCTCATAATGAATTTTGTCTTAAAAGTCTGTTTTGTCTCATATTATTATAGTTATTCCAGCTCTCTTTTGGTTTCTGTGTACATGGAACCTCTTTTTCCACCCTTTACCTTCAACATATTTTGTCTTTAAAACTAAAATGTGTCTCTTATATATAGCATCTAGCTTGATCATGGCTTTAGAAATTCATTCTGCCAATTTCTACCTTTTAATTGAAGAGTTTCATCCATTTACATTTAGTAAAACTACTGATAAGGTAGGATTTATGTCTATTATTTTGCTATTTGTTTTTTATATGTCTTACATGTTTTTGTTTCATTTCTGCTTTGTGTTAAACTGTTATTTTCTAGTGTTCCATTTTAACTCCTTTGTCATTTCTTTTACTATATAAATTTTAAAAGTTATTTTCTTAGTATCCTGATAATTTCAATTAACATTTTAAATTATAACAGTCTATTCAGATTAATACCAATTTAATTTCAATAGTATAAAAAATCTTCGCTCTTATTACTTCCATTCTCTTCTTTCTTTGTGCTGTATTGTCATACAAATTGTATATTTTTGCACTGAATGCCCATCAATACAGATTTATAATTATGGCTTTATGCAATTGTCTTTAAAGTTAGATGGGAGAACAAAAAGAATTACAAACAAAAAAATACATTTATACTGTCTTTTATGTTTACCTATATACTTTCCTTTACTAGCATTTTTTATTTCTTAATATGGATTTAAGTTACTGTCTTATATCTTTTATTTCAGCCTAAAGGACTCCCTTTAGTATAGTTATGCATCACTTAATGTTGGAGATACATTCTGAGAACTGTGTTGTTATGCGATTTTTCATTGTGTGAAATAGAGTGTACTTACAGAAACCTAGATGGTATAGCCTACTACACGCCTAGGCTGTGTGGCATAGCCTATTGCTCTGAGGCTACAAACCTGGATAGCATATTACCATACTGAATACTGAAGGCAATTGTAACACAATACTAAGTATTTATGTATCTAAACATAGAAAAGATACATAAAAAATACAGTATAAAAACTTCATTATAATCTTGTGGGATCACTGTTGAATATGTGGTACATTGTTGATTGTCATGTGGCACATGACTGTATTTCTTATAGGACAGGTTCACTAGCAATGAATTCTCTCAGTTTTTCTCTACCTGAGATTATCTTAATTACTTTTTCACTTTTGAAGGATAGTTTTGCTAGATACAGAATTTTGAATGACAATCTTTTTCTTTAAGGAATTTGAATGTGCCATTCTGGTTTCCATGGTTTCTGATGAGAAGCCAACTCTTAACTGTTAAACTGTTGATTGAGAATCCCTTTGTATATGATAAATTGCTTTCCTCATGCTGCTTCCAAGAATCTTTCTTGTCTTTGGCCTTAAACAATTTGATTATGATGTGTTTATGTGTGGATCTCTTTGATATATCCTACTTGGAGTTTATTGAGTTTTTTTCCATGTGCAGATTGATATTTTTCATCAAATTTGGAAAGTTTTTGGTAATTATTTTTTCAAATATTATTTCTACTTCTCTCTTTCTTGGATGCTCATTACACACACACACACACACACACACACACACACACACACACAGAGTACATATTTTTGATGTTATCTCAAATTCTCTGAACCTTTGTTCATTTTTCTCCATTCTTTTTTCCTTTCTATCCCTTAGACTGTATAATATCAATTTACTTATCTTTAATTCACAGGTTCTGTCTTCTGCTTGCTCAGATCTGCTTTTGAGCCCCTCTAGTAAATTTTTCATTTCAGTTATTGTGCTACTTAACTCCAGAATTTATATTTGGTTCTTTAAAAAATACATAATTTCGATCTCCTTATTGATATTCGTTACCTGATAAGATTATTCTCATACCTTTTTCTAGTTCTTTGGATATGGTTTTCTTTAGTTCTTTGAATGTATATAGAATAAATGATTTAAAGTTTTCATCTTATAAGTTCAATATATGGGCTTCCTCAGGGACAGTTTTTATCAATTATTTTTTTCCCACTGTGTATGTGCCTTACTTTCTTGTTTCTTTGTGTGCCTCATAATTTCTTACTGAAAACTGCATTTTAAATAACATAATACAGCAACTTTGGAAATAAGATTCTCGCCCTTCCTCGGGGTTTGTTGTTGTTGATGTTGCTTCTTTGTGTGTTTAGCGACTTTTCTGAGCTAATCCTGCAAAGTCTGTATTTTTTGTCATGTGTGGCCACTGAAATTTCTGCTTAGTGTTCAGCTAATAATTAGACAGAGGGTGCCTTGATGCTTGGAACCAATAAGTCACCTTGTTTTTGCAGAGTGGCTCTGTGTGTATGTTGGGACATGCCTTCAACACTCAGACAGGACATTTGACAACTCCACCTTAGCCTTCCTGCTTGGGCAGAGCCTTAAGCTTAGCCCAGGTTGAGAGCTCAGGACCTTCCTTAGTTTTTTCCTGCAAATGTGCACAGCCCTAGGCATGTGTACCCTCCTGTGCATACATATGGCTTTCTATATTCCTAGGAATATTTCAGAGCCTTTCAAGGCCCTTTATAGATATTTTATTCCCCCAGATTTTCTTTTTAAGGTTTTTGGTTAGCCTGTTTTTTTTTTTTTTTTTTGCCTCAACTGTTATCCATTGTTTTAGGCAGCCACAAAGTCCAACAATTGTCTCCAGTTGTTTTCAACAAATACCCTTGAAGAAAAAGCTGTTCACTCCAGGCAAGTTTTGAGACAGGTGAAATAAAGACAGTCTTGCAAATAGTATCTTCCAGGAAACCACTAGACAGGTCAAATAATTACAACTCTCTGGGAATGAGGATTTGAAGGAACTCCAAGGCTGTTCTACCCCTTCTTGTAGCTGCCAGGCTGCTGGTTTCCATGGTGATTGTCGTTTGTTGGTTTTCAAGGCTACTGCAGAGTTGGGGTGAGGGGGCTGGAATTGTAGCAAGTTAAAATGCCACAAGGCTCTCTCTTCTTACTAAAATTATGTCATTTTTTTTTTCTTGAACGAAGACTTCCCAGATTGCTATAAACTTTTGATTAATTTCCAGAGTTCTGAAAAATTTGATTCTCACCATTTTTTCCATTTTTCTCATTGCTTTGAGGGAGGAGGGAATTTTCAGAGGATTTTACTCCTACCATTTTCATTGACATTACCTGCAATATATTTTAAATATCCTTCTCTGTGATTGCTTTGTCGCTTCTCAAAACTCAGTTCAAATGTCTCCTCCATTGCGAAGCCCTCTTCTTTGTATCCTCAGGGCAGCTATTCCTCTATTCTCTTATACCTCTTGGTTTATGCCTTTGTTATTTCACTTTTCATAATAACAATTAGTTATATCTGTTTCTATCCCTTTTTTCAGTCTGTAAGCACCCAGTCTTTGACTTGTTCATCCCCCATGCCCAGGCTAGTTTCTGACACACACTAGATACTCAGGTTTGTAGTCTGAAGAATATTGTCCTAGGATACCTCAGAGCCTAGCCAAAGCTTCTGAGTTCCAGCCACCATTTCTTTCCTTCTCCTTCTATAATTCACAGCTGACCTCTATCTCTTCATTGTCTTATGTGTGCCCTGGTGTGATGACCATAAGTTCAGAGTTGACACAGAGTGTATGATATAGTTTGGATCTGTGTCCCAACTCAAATCTCATGTCAAATTATAATCCTCAGTGTTAAAAGTGGCCCCTGATGGGAGGTGATTTGATCATGGGGGTGGATCCTTCATGATCAAGAAACCTTCATGATTCATCATCCACTTGGTGCTATTCTTGTGACAGAGTTCTCATGGGATCTGGTTGTTTAAAAGTGTGTGGCACCTCCCCCGTCTCTCTCATGCTGTTGCTCCTGCCATGTTAGAGGCCTTGCTCCCCCTTTGTCTTTCACCATGATTGGAAGCTTCCTGAGGCCTCCCCAGAAGCAGAAGTCACTGCTTCCTGTACAGCCTGTGGAACCGTAAGTCAATTAAACTTCTTTTCCCTAGAAATTATCCAGTCTCAGGTATTTATTTACAACAGTGCAAGAATTGACTAATACAGTGTATGAGGAAAATAGGGAGCAAAAGTTAAATCCTGTGTGGGTGATATTCAGCAGCAGCAACAACAACAACAACAACAATAACAATAGCAGCTACTGTTTGCTGAATACAGTCTGTGCTAGACACCAGGCTATGGGCTTTGTAGGCAATATCTCAATGAATTCTAACATCAACCTATGAGGTAAATACTATTATCCTCATTTTACAGGTGAGGCTGAGTAAGGGAAGTGGGAGAATTGAGGTTGGATGAAGGCCTAACTCTAAAGCCTATATTCTTAACTGTCCCATCTGAGGGGTTTTTGAGCAGCCAGTTGGAGGAAAGGAAGCCCCACCTGTGTTTACCTTCCCTAGGACCTATTCTGCCTCCTTGTCTAAAGAGATGTGCCTGCTCCCAGGTGTGTTTAGCCCCGTGTGGGCTCAGCTGGGTCACCTTGTGCTTTGAAACAAGATAGCACTGAGGGGCTCCTGCTGCAACTGGCTCCCAGGGCAGACAGGGGCAGAGGCCCCACTTCCCTGGGCATTGGGGTGACAGATGTGGCCCTGGGGCAAGAGGTGACAAAGATCTTCCATCATCACCCCAACAATTCCAACATAGTGACAGCCCCAGACTGCTAGAAAAGCCAACCCACATGGAGGCGAGATAAAATCCAGAGGGCTCAGAAACATTTCAACAAATGCTAGTATCAGTCTCCCCAATACAGCTCTGTCAGCAGGAAGGGAGAATTCTGCCAGCATGCATGGGGCACACTTTTTGGCACAAGGGACCTTGTTGCTAAGCAACAGTAGTTGGCCTCCCCTCCTCCCCATAACCTTTTCCTCTGTTTCTGTGTTTCCAGTTAGCAGATGGGAGGGGCTGGGGTTGCCTAGCCCAGCCCAGCCCTTGTGCTCCTTTCCTGCAACAAGGGGCCTATTCATGGGTCCTGAGCAGGGTTCATTGTCTCTGTGGCGCGTGTCTGTGTGAGTGTTGGAGTAGGGATACAGGGAGGGGCCATGTGTGAACCAGGGAGACCTCATCTTCCAACCAAGCTTGCTGGGCTAGGTTTAATCAATGCTGGCCTGAGAACAGGAGCAGAACGCTGCCTAGTAGACCCTGAGGCTTTACAACAGTGTCACTGACCCTTATGGTAAGGCTATGCCTCTGTGCCACCCCTGCTGTGGCCTCTCTCCCTTTCTTTCTCTCTCCCTCCTCTGCCCTTGGGATTCTAGGCTGGTGGAAAGAGCCTCCTGAGGCAGCTGTGGTACAGGGGCTGGATCCTAGCAGGGGCCCTGTGCGGCCAATTTCCTGTTTCCTCCTCAGGGACTGCCTTTTATTCTCCTCTTTTGTCCCTCTTAGACCTATCAAGTGCTTTGCACATACGTGGTGCTCAACAAATCATTATTACGTTGAACTTCCACTCAAAAAGAGGGGCAAGGAGTCCTATAATTTTAAAGGCCATTTTTTTTTTAGGCTAGCACATGAGCTTGGGCAGTTGAATTTTGAGGTGGAGCAGTACATGAGGTGAGGCCAGTTTGTTCAGAGGCTGGGTTTAAAGCCAAGCTTCCTTGGTACTGAGGCAGGAGAAAAGACTGGCCATGCCCTAGAATTCTCTAGATCAGGCCTGCCTCTCCACTCAGAGGGACATCAGCTCAAGAGCAATCACACAATCCCAGAGAAGAAATCCAAACCTCATCCTCTGTTGCTGCTTCTCTACTCTCTTATGGGTGCTTGACTGGCTCTCCCAAGCCTGCTGTCCTCCAGCTTTGCTGCCTGTGTCCTGTGAGTCTCATCTCTAGGCACAAGAAAGAATGTGTGTGGTATGCAAACCATGACCTCTGTTTCTCCTGGAAAAGTAAGGCCTGCAGCTCTTGGGAGGTCCAGTCCTATAGGTTCTGGGCTGTGGTTGGTGTGGGGAATAGGGAGGTGGGGCTGGTAGCTCATTCTATAGGCAAGGTGTTGGGGCTACTGCCCTGGCTGTGAGCTGAACTGGCATGGGTGCTTTGGGTCCAGTGGAATGATTTTCGGGACAATTTGGAGGTGACTGACCTAGGTGAGTCTGACAAAGGCTTTCCTTCCTCCTGCCGGAGGGTTAGGAAGACTAGATCAGTGGAGTAGGAAGGCATGACTGGGGAGGTTTTGGTGTGAAAAGAACATTTCATGCGACACATGAAAATCACATTTAAGCCAATGCTGTCTTGGAGTCAGCATTTCAGGCTTTTATTCTCATTGGGTACAACCCTATGTGCTGATAGGGAAAGATGCAGGGGAGACGAGTCTGCAGGGGAAATGGGAGTTGCTTCAGTTTTGAGAGATTTTATCTACCCTACTGGATTATAAATTTTGGGGGGAAGGATCCACAGCTTATGTGTAGTTCTTATTAATATTATTATACTTAACATTTGTATTGGGCTTTACAATTAATACAGCCATGTTAATTCATGTTTTCTTATTTGTACCTCCCTCTCTCCCTCCTTCCCTGTTTCCTGTCTTTCCTTCCCTCCTTTAATGTACTTTAACTGAATTCCCACTTTGTGCCAGGCTCTGTGCTTAGCCCTGGGATGCAAAAACCAGTGAGGAAGGAGAGAAAAGGAAGTAAATGAGCACAATATAGGGCCCAACAGGTGCTGTATGCATTGAAGGAAGCTTCCTGGAGCAGTGACGTCTGTGCTGTCTTGAAGGGTCAGTAGGAGTCAGTTACATGGGGAAGGGGAGAGCAGGTGCAAAGTCTCTCTGTTGTGAGAGTGACTGCAGATACTGAGGTATGGCATGTATGTCAGTGTGACCCCAAATTTTGCTGTGGAGGGAGAAATGCTGGCAGTGAGGATGGAGAGGTGAGGCAGGGCGAGATCATGGAGGACCTTGTGAGCCATGCCACGGAGATCTGGTTTGATCCTGAAGGCCACAAAGACTCATAGGGTAGAGATGGGGCTCACATGCTCATATTTGCATTTTAGAAAGATTACTCTGACTTTATGGCGTGGAGAATAACTGAGGGAGACAAGATACTCAAGGAGGGAGATTATTCCTTGGAAAGTAGGAGTTATTACTCTTATTTTACAAATGAGACAATTGAAATTTGAAGAGATGGCCTGAGTTGTCCACGTTCACATAGTAGGTTGTAGACCTAGCTTTGAACTGTCTGGTGTTTTTTTTTTTAAGCTCTTATTTTCATTACTCCTCTTCATGGCTCATGAGCTTCAGGCACACATATGACTTACTCTGCTCTATGCTTTCTTATCCCCATGCCTTTGCTAATCCAATCCTCTTTGTCTGGACTACCCAATGCCCATGTATATAAGCTCAAACCCTCTTCATCCCTGTGGGCCTCAGAGGCTGCTTTTTCTAGGAAACCTTCTGTGATCACCTCAATGAGAAGTAAGCTCTTATTCTTTTGGATGATGATGGTAGTGTATTAGTCTGTTCTCACACTGCTATGAAGAACTGTCTGAGACTGGGTAATTTATAAAGGAAAGAGGTTTAATTGACTCATAGTTCTGCATGGCTGGGGAAACCTCAGGAAACTTACAATCATGGTGGAAGGGGAAGCAAACACACTCTTCTTCACACGGTGGCAGGAGAAAGAAAGGCAGAGTAAAGGGGAAAAGCCCCTTATAAAACCATCAGATCTCGTGAGAACTCACTCACTATCATGAGAACAGCATAGGGGAACTGCCCCATGATCCAATCACCTACTACGAGGTCCCTCCCCTAGTGCGTGGTAATTACAATTCAAAATTACAATTCAAAATGAGATTTTGGGTGAGGGGAGAGCCAAATCATATCATTCTATCCTGGTCCCTCCCAAATCTCATGTCCTCATTTCAAACACAATCATGCCATTCCAACAGTCCCCCAAAGTCTTAACTCATTCCAGCATTAACCCAAAAGTCCGAGTCCAAAGTCTCATCTGAGACAAGGCAAGTCTCTTCTGCCTATGAGCCTGTAAAATCAAAAGCAAGTTAGTTACTTCCTAGATACAATGGGATGCAGGCATTGGGTAAATACACCTATTCCAAATGGGAGAAATTGGCCAAAACAAAGGGGTTACAGTCCCCATGTAAGTCTGAAATCCAATAGGGCAATCGTTAAACCTTAAAGTTCCAAAATTATCTCCTTTGACTACATGTCATACATCCAGGTGACACTGATGTAAGAGGTGGGCTCCCATGACCTTGGGCAGCTCTGTCTTTGTGGCTTCACAGGGCACAGCCCCACTCCTGGCTGCTTTCATGGGCTGGTGTTGAGTGCCTGCAGCTTTTCTAGGCTCACAGTGCAAGCAGGTGGTGGAGCTACCATTCTGGGGTCTGGAGGACGATGGCCTTCTTTTCACAGCTCCACTAGGCAGTACCCCAGTGGGGACTCTGTGTGGGAGCTCCAACCCTGCATTTCCCTTCCATACTGCCCTAGCAGAGGATCTCCATGAGGGCTCCACCCCTGCAGCAAACTTCTCATGGGCATCCAGGTGTTTCCATACATCCTCTGAAATCTAGGTGGAGGTTTTCAAACCTCAGTTCTTAACTTCTATGCACCCACAGGTTCAACACCATGTGGAAGCTGCCAAGGCTTGGGCTTGCACCCTCTGAAGCAGTGACCTGAGCTGTACCTAGGCCCCTTTTAGCCACAGCTGGAGCTGATGCAGCTGGGACACAGGGTACCATGTCCCAGGCTGCACAGAACAGGGGGGTCCTGGCCTGGGCCACAAAACCATTTTTTCTCTCCTGGGCCTCTGGGCCTGTGATGGAAAGGACTGTTGTGCAGTCTCTGACGTGCCCTAGAGAGATTTTTCTCATTGTCTTGGTGATTAACATTTAGCTCCTCATTACTTATGCAACTTTCTGCAGCAGGCTTGAATTTATTCTCAGAAAATGGGTTTTCCTTTTCTATCACATCATCAAGCTACACATTTTCCAAACTTTTATGCTCTGTTTCCTCTTGAACACTTTGCTGCTTAGAAATTTCTTCTGCCAGATACCCTAAATCATCTCCCTCAAGCCCAAAGATCCACAGATCTCAAGATAGTGTGGTGATTCCTCAAGGATCTAGAACCAGAAATACCATTTGATCCAGCAGTCCCATTACTGGGTGTATACTGAAAGGATTATGAATCATCCTACTATAAAGACACGTGCACACATATGTTTACTGCAGCACTATTTACAATAGCAAAAACTTGGAACCAACTCAAATGCCCATCAATGATAGACTGGATAAAGAAAATGTGGCACATATACACCATGGAATACTATGCAGTCATAAAAAAGAATGAGATCATGTCCCTTGCAGAGATATGGATGAAGCTGGAAGCCATCATTCTCAGCAAACTAACACAGAAACAGAAAACCAAACACCACATGTTCTCACTCATAAGTGGGAGTTGAAGAATGAGAACACATGGACATGGGGAGGGGAACAACACACCCTGGTGCCTGTCTGGGAGTGGGGGACAAGGGGAGGGAGAGCATTAGGACAAATACCTAATGCATGTGGGGCTTAAAACCTAGATGACAGGTTGAAAGGTGCAGCAAACCACCATGGCACATGTATACCTATGTAACAAACCTGTACGTTCTGCGCATGTATCCTGGAAGTTAAAGTAAAATAAAAGAGTAGACTATATGTCACATGGTTTCATTTATATGAAACTATAAAAAAGGGAACTCTAATATACAGTGAGAGAAACAGATCAGTGATTTTCCAGGGCTGTGGGTTGGGGAGGAGTTAACTGCAAAAAGGCAGAAGGAAAATTTCTGGGGTAACCTTAATGTCTTATATTTTGACTGTGTTAGTCATGTGGGTTATATCTTTGTCAAAGTTATTGATCTGAGAACTTAAAATGTATGCAATATTTTGAATGTGCATTATGCCTCAATAAAGTTGAACAAAATACCCCCTGCTCCCCGCCCCCCAAAAAAGAAAAACAAACAAAAAACCACCAAAGTTCCACAGATCTCTAGGGCAGGGGCAAAATGCCTCCAGTTTTTTGCTAAAGCATAGCAAGAGTCACCTTTCCTCCAATTTCCAAGAAGTTCCTCATCTCCATCTGAGACCACCTCAGCCTGGACTTCATTGTCCACATCACTATCAGTGTTTTGGTCAAAACCATTTAACAAGTCTCTAGGAAGTTCTAAACTTTCCCACATCTTCCTGTCTTCTTCTGAGCCCTCCAAACTATTCCAACCTCTACCTGTTACCCAGTTCCAAAGTTACTTCCACATATTTAGGTATCTTTACAGCAGCACCAATTTACTGTATTAGTTTGTTCTCACACTGCTATAAAGGACTACTAGAGACTGAGTAATTTATAAAGCAAGAGGTTTAATTGACTCACAGTTCCTCATGGCTGGGAGGCCTCAGGAAACTTACAATCCTGGCAGAAGGGGAAGCAAACGTGTCCTTCTTCACATGGTTACAGGAGAGAGAAGTACAGAGTGGAGAGGGGGAAAGCCCCATGTAAAACCATCAGATCTCATGAGAACTCACTCACTATCATGAGAACAACATTTGGGAACTGCCCCCATGATTTAACCACCTCCCACGAGATCCCTACCCCAACACATGGGGATTCCAATTTGGACTGCAATTCAAGATGAGATTTTGGGTGGGGACACAACTAAACCGTATCAGGTAGTTTAGCTGAACTTTTCTTCTGTCATTTAACATATTGTGCTTTACATGACTTATCTTCAGGACCAGACTACAGGTTCTTTGATGTAGTCAGAGTGGGGAGTGGTTTGCACTGGTTTATTCTGAACTCCCGATAGTGTCCCTTATAGTGACCTGTGCGCTTGGACCAAATATCTATGGAATGAATGAATGGGTGGGTGGGTGATTTGTGGAGGGGCACTTCTTCTTCTGAGATAGGAGGGAATGAAGATGGGTGGGATCTTGAAGTTGAAGGAGGGTATTGAGGGACTTTAGCAGATGCCTTCAATGTTTATGGAAGATGAAGGAGTGGCTAAGAGTGCAGGCTTTGGAGTGGGCCAAATCTGCATTCAAGTGTTTGCTACTGGCCATGTGAGAGTAATGACAGTGGGGTTAGGGGCCCCAGGAGGGCATGGGGGGCCTGGCAAGGTGTTTGTGGGAATATACAGGGAGTCCCCAAGATGAATAGAGGTTTACAAGTGGCAATGGAAGCACGACTGGGGTTAAAGAATGGGGAATTGGACTTGGCTGTGACTTCTCTCAGCAATCCTTGATGTGGGAATCCTGGGTGTCTGACACTTACTTCCCCAGAGCCTGATGCTGGATGACCAAGCCCCTGTGGAGGCCCAGTATGCAGAGGAGGGCCCAGGATCTGGGATCTTCAGAGCAGAGCCTGGAGACCAGCAGCATCCCAGTAGGCCAGACTGGGTCATAAGGGAATGACAGGGTGGGGACAGTGGAGGGCAATCATCCTACATTTCCTGGATCCTCCTTGGGGTCAGCCCCACATGATTGATGGTGAGAGGCTGTCTCACTCTTTATCCCCAGACCTGCTTTTGCTTCCCATTTCCCACTTTAGGGATTGAGTGGGATTTGTGGGCCTCAGTGATCAGGCCCTCTCCATCCTCCCCTGCCCCCACCCCCTCCCTAATCTGGGCTGATGGGACAGGAGGAGGTGTCCTGTTGGAGTTCTGTGGGTACCTAGCCCCATGGTGGTGACTTAGGGTGAAGTAAGGCTGGCTGGCAGGAGCAGAAGACCCAGATACCCCTCTGTCCTTTCCCACAGTTTCTCAGGCGGTGTGCTGGCGCTCCATGCGACGAGGCTGTGCAGTGCTGGGAGCCCTGGGGCTGCTGGCTGGTGTGGGTGTTGGCTCCTGGCTCCTAGGTCAGTGCTGGGGTCCCTTCTCTGGTGTGGGGGAGGTTGGAAGGGAGAAGCAGGTGCTGAGCAGGCATTAAAGGTAAATAGGACAAGTGTCTTCCTCATCTACTCTGCGCAGGCAAGGGGAGAAAGGGTGAAATCGCAGCAGGAGGGATCTAGACTCTACATAAAGAAAAACAAAGTGTATGATCCAGGGAGGCCTTAGTCAGACTTTTTCTGGAAATCTTTCCCAGTGAGAGAGGTACAGAGAGAACACACACAGAGAAAGACGGAGACATACTGAGAGACAGAGAGAATGAGAGAGAGAGCGAGAGAGAGAGAGAGAGAGAGAAAGAGTCAAAGAGGCAGAGATAGAGGCTGAGGCCAAGAGAGATGGAGCGCTGTGCCCCTCCTCAGTGGGTTGGTTGGGGACCTGCCTGAGAGCAAGGTGGCTGATGAGGAGGTCAGCACCTTGACCCCCTCCTTTGGAAATCAGACCCTTTCTCTTTGTTCTTCTCTGAAGTGCTGTACCTGTGTCCTGCGGCCTTTCAGCCCATTTCTGGAATCTTGCAGGATGAGGAGATAACTTTGAGCTGCTCCGAGGCTGGTGGTGAGGAAGCTCTGCTCCCTGCACTTCCCAAAACAGGTGGGCTGCACCCCTGAGGCTATGGACCTCCCTCCCCAGCAGGGACCTGTCACAGCTGGGGGCAAGAGAACCGACTCTGAAGGGCCATCTGTTCACTGCCAACCATATATATTTCCCTCCTCTAGTGTGAGGGCGGTGACTTCTGCAAGGTGTCACCTTGCAGAAGTGATCTCTGATTGGGGCTTTCAGCGCTCTCTGAGGACTGTCCTGATCTCTAGCTGGGGCAAGGTCCAGAGACCAGGCTGGCAGGAGGGATAGAAACTTGCCAGAAGTTAGAAACCCAGAAACTTGCCAGGATAGAAACCCCAGAAATTTGGGGCAGAGTGAGTCAGGGATGTGGGGGAGGAGGGGTCGGGTGTGTGTGGGAGCCAGTGTGTGACCAGCAGGGCCACCTATGGGTCTCGGAACATTAGCCCACCTTGTCCCCTGTCTCCCTCTCCTGATTGTCCCCTCTCCTCCACGTAAGAGCTGGGGATCAGAAGGTACAATGCTGCCCAGAGGCTACGGGTTAGAATAACCTCATTAGAATAAGGTTGGAGTCTGTCTTTGACTGTGTGGCTTTGGGCACATTACTTCTTGTAGCTTCTGTTTCCTTCTCCATAAAATGGAAATACAATATTTACTGCATAAATTTTTTAAGAATAAAACAAACTAATCTAGGAAAAGATATTAGCACAGAACTTGTGTAGTAGTCTGTTTGGTTTGCCATGATTAAGTACCACAGACTGGGTGGCTTAAACCACATTTATTTTCTCACAGTTCTGGAGGCTAGAAGTCCAAAATCAAAGTGCTATGAAATTCAGTGTCAGGAGAGAGCCCTTTTCCTGGCTTGTAGATGGCTGTCTTCTGCCTGTGTCCTCCCCGGGCCTTTCCTCTGCTCTTGAGGAGAGAGGGAGCTCTCTGGTGTCTCTTCCTCCTATAAGAACATTGACTCTATTGGATCAGGGCCTCACCCTCGTGACCTCATTTAACCTTAATCACCTTCTTAAAGGCCCTGTCTCCAAATCCAGTCACATTGAGGGTTGGAGCTTTAACAGATGAATCTGTGTGTGTGTGTGAGGGGTGGGGTGGGGACACAAGTCAGTCCATAAGAGCCTGGAAAAAGCATACACTCAACAACCGGTAACTATTATTATCACAAGATTTGATATCAGAAGACCTGGACTTAAATCCTGGATCCATCTCTTCCTGACCCTGTGATCTTGGGGAAGGTGCTTAAATTCCAAGCCTTAGTTCTCCTTCTGCAGAATAGAGAGGATGGCACTACCCATTGCAGAGGGCTGCTGTGACAGTGAGTGGCACAGCACACTTAAAAGCTCTTGGTTGAAATAGAAAACGGAAATGCTCTACCAGTAGGGGTGATACTGCTCTTGGGACTGGTCTCACTCCCTGGGCAGCAGGGAACTTGGCACTGGGTGACCCAGATACTGTCATTAAAGCCTCTTCAAGTACTACAGAGTCCTAGGTCCAGCTCTTCCTGTCCCACCCTACCACCATCTTTCCCCATGTGGTTTTCATGCTGTGATTTCAGTATCTTTCAGAATAAACAGCGAAGACTTCTTGCTGGAAGTGCAAGTGAGGGATCGGCCACGCTGGCTCCTGGTCTGCCATGAGGGCTGGAGCCCCGCCCTGGGGCTACAGGTCTGCTGGAGCCTTGGGCATCTCAGGTAACAGGAGTCAGATGTGGGTCCTGTGAAGGGGGAGGCCTGGCTGGCTGGCGAAGGATGGGAGTTGGAGACCTCTATCTGCCCATCACTGGTCAGTATGCTCAGGAAATGTCAAGAGGTCTTTTTGGCCATCTTTTGGCCTCTAGGCACAATGGTACCCCAGCCCATTTCTCTGTTTGGAGTATTACTGCTTTTTAACAAGCATAAATCCCAGCAGTAGTCATTATCACAGCCTTGTGGTTACTATACTAGTATTATATCTTGTACACATTCCAGTTATGATTTCCTCCTGTTCTATTCCCCTCCTCTGCCAAGACTCACTCACCACAAGGGAGTAAACCTCACCGACATCAAACTCAACAGCTCCCAGGAGTTTGCTCAGCTCTCTCCTAGACTGGAAGGCTTCCTGGAGGAGGTGTGGCAGCCCAGGTAGGACTACTGAGGCGGTTAGGTGAGTGGGTTCCCTTACTTCCTGGTGGTCAGTCCAGCAAAAATCTCCTTTCTTGGGATCCTGGTGGTGAGGACACTGGTGGCCTAAGATAGGAGGACAAAGAGAAACATTTCCTAATCAGAAATTAACAAACTCAGTTCACATGACCCCTGTCTGTCACCACTTCACAGGAAATGTAGGGTTGGTTATCACTGTCACAAGATTTGAAATGGTACTCGTGACCATTTTACAGGTTAGGACACTGAGGCTTAATAAGGTTAAAGGGTCTTGTCCAAGGTCACATAAGTAATAAGCAGCCAAGTCAAGCCTTGAAACCAGGCTCCTGTCTCCAAGCTCAGTGCTCTCTGAATCCTGTCACACATTATTTGGATAATTTGGGTATTTCAGGAGAGAGATGGTTGAGTTGCTCTGGCTAAGAATTGCTTGTAGTCTGGAGAGTCTCTCAGAGAAGAGGGCTGTGGAATGGAGCAGCCCCTGCCCCAGATCCTGGGGATGGTCTGGTGTGACTGGGGCACAAGCCGAGAGGGTTGCACCTTCCTAGGCTTCCTCAAGCTGCCTATCAGCCTCCTGGGATAGATGGGTGGGCACCCCCATTACCACATTTCCAAATTGAACTGTTCCTTCAGGCCCCTCCTGTCCAGCTCCTATGCTCAGGAATGTGGCTGGAGATGGGAAGGTTCTGACTGGGTTCTTGTCTTGGATACCTGAATGGGAAAATGGAAGTAGGGGTGGGGCTGACTCCTCCAGGGGAGCCAGGAGGGCTGTGTATTTGGGAAACTAGGAGACACTAAGAGGGTCTAGACATTGGGCTGCTAGGGGCAAGAGGTGAATAAATAAAGAGAAGAGAGTTTAGGTCAAAAAAGGAACTAAGCTAAGAGAGAAAAGGGGAAAGAGGAGAGCAAGAGTATGAATATGCAAGGCCCAGGCAGAGGGACCGGGATGGAGAATACAGCACACCTAGGAAGGAGCATGGGGTGAAGAACCCTGGTCACGCACCCACTCAGCTATCCGTTCATTCATTCATTGAGTGTGTATTTATTCAGGACACTTAGTGGTAACAGTTGATCTATGTCCCAGTTGATCTGCAAGGACCATGAAGTCCTTCTATTGCCCTCTGGGAGATTAGGCAGGAGGTGTGCTGCTGTCCTGGGGACCAGTGATGAGGAGGAGTCTGAGTGTTTGGGTGGGGGCAGGAAGGAAATGGTGGTATTCTTCAGGCTGTGGCTACATGACAGCCTTAAGAACTGTCTACCACCCCTACCAACCTCCCCCATTCTTCACATCCTTGGATGTGTGTGGCCGCAGCTTCTTGCTGGCACCTCTGTTTTGTAGGAACAACTGCACTTCTGGTCGAGTTGTTTCCCTCAGATGCTCTGGTGAGTCATGTCTTGGTCCTGGGGAGGTGGCAGTGGGAGGAAGGGGTGTTCCCCCTGCTTCAAGTGTGGAAGAGCCCTATGGTGAGGCTCTGCTGGGTCTGGGGTGGGGGTCCTTGCCCACCTGCCCATCTGCCTGACAGGCCCCTTGTTGCAGTTGCTGTTCTGCCCCAGCAGAGCCCTTTCTAAGCCTCCATCATGTCCCTCACCAGCCACAGATCTGGGCTGATGATCTCCTTCCTTCACTACCTGCCACTCTCTTCCTTGACCTCTAACACCCACTCCGCCTTTTTTCTGGAGAGCCCCAGAGGTGAAATTATTATTGGCTATTGAGTGACCCGTTAGCACCTTCAGGAAACTAAGGGCAGGTGGTGAATTAGGTACCAAACGGGAAGCAATCTGTGGAGTTCCTTTCATTGGTCTTCCTGTTCATCTATCCGTCTCTTCATCTGTCCATTCAGACATCCTTCCACACACCAACACTTCGACCTCTGCTACAGGACGGGCATTCTGTGAGGCACTGGGGCTTCATACCTAACACAGGGCTCCATGCAGACACAGTTTCTGCTCTCAGCAGGCCCACAGCTGGATGGGGCAGGCAGGGCTGAAATCAACACTTCTACCTTCCCATCCCCCACACTTAGGACCAGGAATAAGAAAGGAGAGCTGTCCACATTGGCTGTCTGGGGCTTGGCACTGGGTCACGTTCCCTGAGAGTTAGGACCATGCTGACACTCACCTCTCTCTCTCTTTCTGTCTCACCCATCTCTGTTGGCAGAGTGTGGAGCGAGGCCCCTGGCTTCCCGGATAGTCGGCGGGCAGGCTGTGGCTCCTGGGCGGTGGCCGTGGCAGGCCAGTGTGGCCCTGGGCTTCCGGCACACGTGTGGGGGCTCTGTGCTGGCGCCACACTGGGTGGTGACTGCTGCACACTGTATGCACAGGCAAGTCTCCGTGGCTGCTGAGGACAGACTGCCTCGGTTGCCCTTTCTGTTCAGCTGTTGGTGTGTCCTGTATCAAATGTTCATGTCCAACCGTCTCCAGCTTTTTGCTCCGAGAAGGTAAGGTGTTTGTGAAGTTCTCCCCATTCAGTATCAAGAACAGATCTGCACAAATAACAGTAAGGATATGAAGATTTGTTCTGTATATTCATCAGCTTTTTTTTTTTGTTTTTGATAGAGAGTCTCACTTTGTTGCCCAGGCTGTAGTGCAGTGGCGCAATCTTGGCTCACTGCAACCTTCGCCTCCTGGGTTCAAGCAATTCTTGTTGCCTCAGCCGGGAGCCACCATGCTCAGCTAATTTTTTTGTATTTTTAGTAGAGATGGGGTTTTGCCATGTTGGACAGGCAGGTCTTGAACTCCTGACCTCAGGTGATCTGTCTGCCTCAGCCTCCCAAAGTGCTGGGATAACAGGCGTGAGCCACCGTGCCTGGCCTCGTCAGCTTTTAAGTGTTAAAAATACTTTCACATTCACAGCACCCTGTGTTTCTTCAGGTTTATCTTTGGTTCAGTCATTTTCCATGTAATTATTTGGTTAATATCTTTCTTTCCCTTTAGACTGGAAGCTCTGCAGGAGCAGGGACTCTCGGTCTTATTTACCACTAAATCTCTTTGTAGATTTATCCACTGCTGTGTCCCCAGGGTCTAGAACAGTCCCTGGAATATAGTAGGTGCTTAATAAATATGACTTGGAGGAATGAATGGATGATGAGTGAATAGCTCTTTGATCTTCTCTTGGTGCCGAACAGGGCAGAGAGTGTCATCCCCATTTTACCAAGGCTGGGAGGGAGAAGTGCCTCTCTCATGATCACACATAGTAAGTCGAGAGATAGGACCAGGGGAAGCGTTTCCGACACAAGGCCCTCTATGTGTTTGCTATAAAACTTGGAGGGAAGTTATGCAGGAAAGAGGGAGTGATGGTTGCAGATGACCCATAGTCTTCTCCATCCATCAGTCCTGGAGCATTTATTAAGCACCTACTGCATGCCCAGTGTCTTGCCAGCTGCTGGGGTGATACTAAGAGGCATGGTCCCTGGGGCCTGCAAGCTCACCACCCGCTGATGGCCCCCCGACCAATGGCCGCTCTGGCCAGCTTCCTCCACCTGCTACTTTACTCAGGAACACCTCTTCTGCCCCTTCCTTCCCCGCTCAGCATGGCCCCTGTGTGCAGTTTCAGGCTGTCCCGCCTGTCCAGCTGGCGGGTGCATGCGGGGCTGGTCAGCCACAGTGCCGTCAGGCCCCACCAGGGGGCTGTGGTGGAGAGGATTATCCCACACCCCCTCTACAGCGCCCAGAATCATGACTACGACGTCGCCCTCCTGCGGCTCCGGACCCCTCTCAACTTCTCAGGTGCGGCGCTGGCTTGAGGGTGGGCAGACTGGAGACTATGTAGAGAGAGGGCGGGGGCTGGGCGGGAGAGTGGTGAGCTGATTTCTGAAGTTTCCTCTGAACACTGTAAACCTTAAGACATTTTATTTATTTGGGGACTGTAGTGAATTTTGGCATCACCTGGATGTGAAATTGTTATCAACTCTTTTACCGGCTCTTTTGGGAAAAAAGGTTCAGGCACTTTTCATGGCTGGGCTGCAGGTGGCCTTTGCCTTGAGGTCCCAAGCAGCTGCTCCATTCACCCATAGGCTGCTCCACTCCTGTCCCCAGGCCAGTCTTGGGTCCTAGCCATTTAGTGCCATGTTACAGTTTATGAGATATATATTTTTTCAAATATCTTCTCTTTCAGTCCTCGTAACGACCCTGATAGGTAGATGAAACAGGTAGATACAGACAAGGGCACTGCGGTATAGGGAGGGAAGCGACTCTCTTCAAGGTCATGTGGCAAACGGTTCCTAAGCCTGATGCCCGGGCTACTCCTGCTGTTGCACCTGCCCTAGGTGGTGAGCCCAGGCTGCAGCCATACCAGCAACCAGTTTCCCCCAACACACACGTACATGTGGACATTCACCTACAAACACACACACATGCACTCAGTCACATGCACATAGACTCACATGCATTCACACATGCTCACACATATGTGCTCACATGAACACACCTGCACACACACACCACACACACAAACATGCACACTGTGCACACACATATACATTCACATATACTCAACACTCCTTCCTGTCATCACCTGTAGCCTTAAGTTTCCCAAATAACAGTCATTGCCATACACATTTCACAAATTTTATCACATATGTGAACTATCATTCAACAGATAATATTTCTAAGGCTGGGCGTGGTGGCGCATGCCTGTAATCCCAGTACTTTGGGAGGCCAAGGTGGGCAGATCACTTGAGGTCAGGAGTTCAAGGCCAGCCTGGCCAACACGGTGAAACCCCGTCTCTACTGAAAATACAAAAATGAACTGGGCATGGTGGTGCACGCCTGTAGTCCCAGCTACTCGGGAGGCTGAGGCAGGAGGATCACGTGAACCTGGGAGGCAGAGGTTGCAGTGAGCTGAGATCGTGCCACTGCACTCCAGCCTGGGTGACAAAGCAAGACTCTGTCTCAAAAAAAAAAAATTCTTCGTATATTTAAAAGAGAAATACTACTATATTAGTATCTAAGTAGTAGACACTACATAGATATCTAATGTAGTAGTATTTCTCTTTTACATATACTTATTTTGTTATAGTTAATAGCACATTTACTATATAATCTAGTAAGTAAATAGCATATTTGCTATTTAAATATACAAAATAGATGTAGTAAATAGATAATAATTAGTATCTCTAGTTAGAAGACCTATATTACTTACCTAACTAGAGAGCCTATACCTAACTAGAGAACCTGTGTTACTTACAGTAAATAGATACTAACCACAAAAATATGTAGCATGAAAAGAAATCAGTGTGGAAGTTCTAGGTAGCTGAGTCTGCTGCAGAAGTTGCTGCACCCGGGCGTGCTGTCTCCTGTTTGGATGGGAGGTTGGCAGGCTCGAAGAAAGGCACAGACCAGCCCCAAATGAAGTCTTTCTCTGTGATGCAGTTAGAGTAACTGAAAGAGAATTGAAGGACATGGCATTCTCCCCCAGCGGATGTTTACTCAATGGCGTGCCTACGTACTACCTAAAATCATGTATGGCTGCACCCATCGGATATGTCACACGTTTTTGGAAGCACTGTCCTCATTAGAAGTTGGGTACCCATGGCCTGAAAGAATTTTCACCCCTACTCCGTCCCCAGGTGTGGGGAGGGGGCAGCATGGGCCCTGTCCACCCGTAGAGGACGCCATGCACACTACAGTTTGCATGCTGTCCTCTGTGACAGGGGACCCCTAAGATGGGACAATACACCACTTGCATAGCCATCTAGGAGGCCTGGCTGGTGGAACCCAGGAACCAGGACTGTTTCAGAATGGGGGTGAGGAGGACCTGCCAGTCCTGGGTCCTTTGCTCAGGCTCTGCAATGGGGGAAGCCGAGCCTGACTGGGGAACAGGATCACATGCCTCTCTGCAGACACCGTGGGTGCTGTGTGCCTGCCAGCCAAGGAGCAGCATTTTCCAAAGGGCTCGCAGTGCTGGGTGTCTGGCTGGGGCCACACCGACTCCAGCCATAGTGAGTCAGCTCCCTGGGCCCTCGGTACAGGAGCGGGTGTGGGAGGCATTCTTCCCCAGGGTGAGGCATGGCCACATCCCTTGGCCACATGACAGTGCCAGCCCTGTTTTTCCCTGGCATCACCCTTGGCCATGACTGGGGGCTCCAGTCTCCCCTGCCTGGGCCTTTCTGGGGAGAACGTCTACTGAAAGTTTTCCCCAAACTCAGACCCTTTTACGCCACCTCCCCTTGTCCCAGGAGCGCCATGGTCTCACATTTGGTGTATATGTGAGTCCTCCTGCTCTTCCACTCCCAGCCCCCAAGTCTGATAGCCTCCTGCTTCCTTCCTCAGGGTCCACAGCTCCCACCCTGGGCTCACCTCTGTGGGTCTCCATGTCTCTGGGACTTCTAATTACCTCCCCTCTTGCTGTTCTGCCTGCCTGGGTCTCGCTTTATGCCCGGCAGTTTTTCTCGATGTCTCTCATAGCTTACAGCTCGGACATGCTCCAGGACACGGTGGTGCCCCTGCTCAGCACTCAGCTCTGCAACAGCTCCTGCGTGTACAGTGGAGCCCTCACCCCCCGCATGCTTTGTGCTGGCTACCTGGACGGAAGAGCTGATGCGTGCCAGGTGTGGCCTATGGTGGCTGGGGTGAGGGTGGGGATGGAGGTGGGGGTGGGAGGACAGGGGGCCTGCTTTGACTTGGACCCCTGCCCTGGTCTGAGCTTGTCGGTGGTGTGAGACCGCCTCTCTAGAAGGAGGTGCACCTAGGCAAGTCTGGAGCTCATGCTAAGGGTTTAAGGAGGGGTGAGGCCAGTAGGTGTCTCAGCTAGAAGCAGGAGGGGCCCAGTAAGGAGATTCCACTTGTCATAGTGGTCTGGTGCTCTCCAGCAGTAAGAACTAACTGGCTGTTTCTCTGTGTCTCTATGCCTGGATCCCATAGGGAGATAGCGGGGGCCCCCTGGTGTGCCCAGATGGGGACACTTGGCGCCTGGTGGGGGTGGTCAGCTGGGGGCTTGGCTGCGCAGAGCCCAGTCACCCAGGTGTCTACGCCAAGGTAGCTGAGTTTCTGGACTGGATCCATGACACTGTTCAGGTGAGTGTGGGGGCAGGAGTAGGACAGGGAGGTTTCTAAAGGACCTGCCCCTCCAATGCAAGGAACCTTACCCCTTAGGCCCAGGTCCTGCTGGGGGCTGGGGAGGGGACTAGGACATGTTCTCCAGAGTGGGTGGAGGAAGAAGTGAAGCTTAAACATTGAATCCACTGGATTTCTATCAATTTAAGGATAAACTGGGTAAGAGTAGCCCTGAGTTTGTATCCTAGATCTGCCTTTTCCTGTGTCGACCTTCAGCAAGTTTCTAACTTTGGTAAACCTTAGTTTCCTGATGATAACCATCATGGCTGCTTATATGCTATAGTTATATGCTATTAAATAAGACCTGTACAATGCCTAGCACAGTGCTAGGCTTAGAGGGCGTGATCTGTAGTACTTTTTGTTTTTTTGAGATGGAGTTTTACTCTTGTTGCCCAGGCAGGAGTACAATGGCGCAATCTCAGCTCACTGCAACCTCCACCTCCTGGATTCAAGTGATTCTCCTGCCTCAGCCTCCCAAGTAGTTGGGATTACAGGCATTCGCCACCACGCCTGGCTAATTTTTTGTATTTACTAGAGACGAGGTTTCATCATATTGGTCAGGCTGGTCTTGAACTCCTGAGCTCAGGAGATCCACCCGCCTTGGCCTCCCAAAGCGCTGGGATTATAGGCGTGCACCACCATGCCAGGCCTGTCATGTTATTTATGTGTATATCTGTTACTGTCACTTATCCCTGGTCTCTAAGGCAGTTACTAGTGGCCACATTCCCTGCACTGTGGAGAGAGCTCAGCATTTAGCAGTTTGGGTTCTGCATGGACGTAAATTGTGTGACTCCGGGCAAGCCACTCTCCTTCATCTGTTCAATGGGAAGGCCAAGTGAGACAATGGGTATAAAAACACATTAGTGGCTGGGCGGGGTGGCTCATGCCTGTAATCCTAGCACTTCAGGTGGCTGAGGTGGGTGGATCACGAGGTCAGGAGTTCGAGATTGGCCTGGACAACATGGTGAAACCCTGTCTACTAAAAATGCAAAAATTAGCTGGACGTGGTGGCATGCACCCAACTACTCAGGAGGTTGAGGCAGAAGAATCACTTGAACCTGCGAGGCGGAGGTTGCAGTGAGCTGAGATCTTGCCACTGCACTCCAGCCTGGGCGATAGAGCAAGACTGTCTCAAAAACAAAACAAAACAAAACATTATTTACATAAAGTATTTTACAAATTTAGGGCATGGTCATGAAAAGCATCTTCCTCTAAGGTTGGGCAGGGATGGGGGTTGGTAGATAATACAGGGAATGTATGTATCGATCTTCTCATAGAAATCTTACAAAACATCTCGAGCAGCAGATAATTTTAGCCCCATTTGATAGAAGTGAAAATCAAGGCCCTGCATGGTTAAGTGATTTACTAAAATAAACGTTGCTTGGCTAGTGTAGAGCCATGCTGTGAATCCAGTTCCTTTCCCTTTTGGTCTAGGACTCCCTCCTCTGAGTCCGGCTGTTTCCTCCAGTCTCACTGCGCACGGCCACCTCATGCTTCCTGGGGCCTCTAGCAGCTCCACTAACAGAGGAGGGGCAGCAGCCTCCGATGCCGAACGCATGGACCTCCTACTACTGTGCGTGAGGAACAGTCACCACCCTCTGGCCAGCCACCCAGCCACCAGGTCTCTCCTCTTGGGCCCTGATCTCAGAGTCCTCTTTCTCACTAGAGACTCAATGACAGAAGAGAGGCTGGGGCTGGGTTGGGAGTACTGTGGTTGCTGAGGGATGAGGGGAAAGAGGAGAGAGGTAGGAGCTGGAGATGAAGAGGCTGCTGGAAGCAGCAGGAAGCCTACCCTTTTTCTGCCCTCTCCCCTCCCTGCCCTTGTGTGAGTCTTCTGGGAGGGTGCTGGGAGGTGCCCCCAGTCCTGCCTTTTCCCTGTGCTCTCAGGTGGGCTAAGTGCCTCCCTAGAGGACTCCATGGCTGAGAGGCTCCTGGGCAGATGGGGTCAAGGCTGGGCCAGCCCAGATGAAGCCTACAGGAGTCAGGACCCTCTCCACTCCCCTTCCTGTTCTCACCTGGCTCTGGCTGGCCCTGTATGGGGTGGGTGCACTGGAAAACAAGAAGGTTGGAGTTGGTCTAGGACATTGATTTTAAATGACAGTTCTGTGAACTGGTCCAAGGAGTTCTGTTATTAAAGTGATATATGGTCTTGGTCCAGTTTTCTCTGTCTGCCTCTCACTTGCACAAAGACAGACAGACAGACACAAACACACACCCACCCACCCACACAAGCACATATTGCAGGGTAGAATTACAATTTTCCTGCTATCTTCTATACATGTTGAAGCTTTGGTGCTGACTCCTGCTCATCTACTCTAGAATTTTGGTTTGTGCTTGTTTTGCCCAGGCTGGAGTGTGGTGGCACATCTCAGCTCACTGCAGCCTTGATGCTGTGGGCTCAGTGAATCCTCCCACCTCAACCTCCCTGGTAGCTGGGACTACAGGTGCACGCCACCACACACGGCTAATTCTTCTTTTGTATTTTTTATAGAAATGGGGTTGGCCAGTTGTGGTGGCTCACGCCTGTAATCCCAGCACTTTGGGAGGCCGAGGCGGGTGGATCACGAGATCAGGAGATCGAGACCATCCTGGCTAACACGGTGAAACCCCGTCTCTACTAAAAATACAAAAAAATTAGTCGGGTGTGGTGGCGGGCGCCTGTAGTCCCCGCTATCTCTCAGGCTGGAGTGCAGTGGCGCCATCTTAGCTCACTGCAAGCTCCGCCTCCTGGGTTCAGGCAATTCTCCTGCCTCAGCCTCCCGAGTAGCTGGGATTACAGGCACACTACAGCCACCATGCCTGGTTAATTTTTTGTATTTTTAGTAGAGACGGGGGTTTCACCATGTTGGCCAGGCTGGTCTCGAACTCCTGACCTCAGGTGATCCACCTGCCTCCCCCTCCCAAAGTGCTGGTATTACAGGTGTAAGCCACCGCACCTGGCCCCATCTCTCCTTCTTAGCTCTTGTTTTGGAACTGGGTCTTTTGACTTGGCCTCTCTTTCAGAGTTTATGCCCAGTTAGCATTTCCTTGGTTAAGCCTCTCCCCTACTCTCTCCTCTCTAGCACTTAAAATGTAATTGGCATCTTGTTTCTAAAAACTGCAATGAATTTTTTTTATGGTGCTTACCCAAAGAAATGCAATCAGTATTTAGCAATAACAGAACTTTGTGAGTTTATCAGCATATTTTATGAGGAGTTGTACAAATGATTACTCATTTCTAGAGGGTCTGCTCCCTTTACATGAAGTGCACTATAAAATGAAGGTTTCAATTTACTGCCAGTTTATTAACCAGGGAAATAGTTGCTGGGAGTCTGCTGTCAAACTGTAGAAACAACGTGGGAGAAGTTCTGCTGAATGGCAAAATAGCCTCGCCCTGTGTCCCTGGAGGTCAAACCTTCAGCCTTTACCCTGAGATCAACATTTACTGCCCAGTTCCCTTAAGTCCCTGTCTCAGGAGGCACTGATGGGGTAGTGGATTCCCCTGGGCAGGGATAAGTTAACAGCAAATCCAGCAGCTGTGATATTTTTTTGTGTTTCTGATGTCAATCATAATCATTTGCATATTTAAAGGGAAGTTTAAACAAATTACAGCCATCAAGGTCTTTCAGTAATCACTAACATTTGAATAGTGTTTTTCAGTGTAGAAAACATGCCCGTATGTGGGAGCTCACAACATCTATAGGGTGCAGATATTATTATTATTGTCCTCATTTTCCAGATAAGAAAATTCAGAGAGATTAAGTGACTCCCCCAAGAACACCCAGCTGGTAAGCACCAAAGCCAGGATGTCAACCGTGGGTCTTTTTACTCTAAATCCACATCACTGTCATGCACATGGATGAATGAGATGGTCCAGTATCGCACAGCAGAACAGAATTGAAATGTACTTGCTCAGGTCACCTGGTCTAAGTCACCTGCTTACGGTAATGCATTGACACACCTACCTTTTTAAATTTGTTTTGTTTTGTTTTGTTTTTAGACAGAGTGTTACTCTGTCAGCTAGGCTAGAGTGCAGTGGCACAATCTTGGCTCACTGCAACCTCCGCCTCCCAGGTTCAAGCGATTCTCGTGCCTCAGCCTCCTGAGTGACTGGGACGACAGGTGTGCACGACCAAGCATGGCTAATTTTTTTTGTACTTTTCTTTTTTTAGTACAGATAGGGTTTTGCCATGTTGGCCAGGCTGGTCTTGAAATCCTGGCCTCAAGTGATCCACCTGCCTTGGTGTCCCAAAGTGCTAGGATTACAGCTGCAAGCCATTACACCCGGCCCTACTCTTTTATAGATGAAGGAACCAAAACCCAGGTATTTTAGAGGCTCCTGCCAAAGACCCTTCTCAGGAAGTATTCTTAGAAATTCCCAGTTCTCCCTGAGATTCATGGTCTAACTAAAACTTACAAATTAATATCTCCTATAGGAGAGCTATAAAGGGTACCCTAATTAGAGAATTTGCTAATAATAATTCCTTGCTTACCTGTACAGAAGCTCCTGTTCTCTTTGGCCAGGCAGTCAGATCTGCGGATGCAGAAGCTCTCACTTTCCTTGTTAGCATCTGCCAGTCCAGCTCTTTGGAAAGGGAAAGAAAGCGAGTGGCCTGGCCAGCTCTGTTCCCCTGAGCCTGCTCCTGGAATGAGGGGGTGGAGGTGGGGCCAGGAAGGTTGGGAAGATTCGGGTTGAGAAGGGCTTTAATGAGGACCAGCTGGGTTCCCAGTGCTCTTAAGCTCTGTAGGGAATTCGGAGGTAGAAAAGCCGACTGTTTTATTGGAGAAATGACTTACTTGCAATAAATTACTAGTAGCCAGCCAGGCACAGAGCTGAGTGGGGAGGTAGTAATTGCTCAGTGAGTTCCAAGAGCCTATTGTTAGAGAAGTCAGAGCAACGCTGTATGTGCGAAACCTCTGCCTTTCTCCGGTAGGATTCAGCATCACACCTGCTTGGGCAGAGATTTCCAGCCTCCTGAGATGTTCCAAGAGGGTCATTCCTGGCTGCCACGATGGGTGCAGATCCCTTCCCTCTTCTTCTATGTGCTTGTGGGGTCTCAAGGACTCTAGAGGGTTCAGCATCCCTCTAACATCAGATGCAGGTTCTCCCCTCCTGACACCTTCCGTGGAGTCGTGCTTTTCCTAAAAGGGTTTCTGGGAACAAGGGGCGGCCCTGCCATTCCTCAGGAACGTTTCTCAGGCTCTTTCTTATATTTTCTTTTTGGAGGTGCTTGGCTCACCCACAATAGGACAAAACTGGAAATGCTATAAATGCCTAGAGCCAGTTTGGTAGCTTTCAGATGTTTTCCCAAGTCCCTCTGATGCTTCTTCTCTCCTCTCTCCTCCGCCGTCTCCTGGCCATGCTCTCAGGACCCTCTTGCTGCTCCACGGCTACTCAAAGGAAAACCTACTTTCACCTGTCCCCACTTTCCAGTCCAGCATCCTGGGTCTGAGCCCTGTCTCTACCTCCCCCGTAGACATGCCACAGCAAACACACAGGGTGTGCCCCACCCTCAGGACTCTGTGTCCTACTAAACTGATCAGAGCAGGGTGTTGTTAATGACTCTTTCAACTCTGTGTTAAATCCCTCCACCCCTAGGCAGGTTCCTAAGGAAGTAGGTAGGCAGCGGCTTCCTACTCTTGAGGGCTGAGACTGGTCTTTCTCACACATTCAAGGCTGGGAAAGAGAGAAGCCAAGCAGGGGTCTCCCCAGGATGGAGCACTCCAGGTGGATTCGTGGAGGTTTTCACCTGGAGGTGGTGCTGGAGGGAACCAAGCTGGGGAATCAAACAGAATGGAGAGAGAAGTGGCTGCAGAGGCACAGAGCCCTTGCTACTTAGCATCTCCCGGAACAGCACATGGGCTCCAGGAAGGCAGAGACTTGCAAAGGGCTGGGCTCATCTTGGAGTTTTCTCCCTACCAAGGAACCTCTGGCTATAGCATCTGATAGTAGGAAACAACGGTTCTAGATGCAGAGTTCCATCACATCCCACGTGGGAATGTGTTCTCCAGCAGGTGACACAGTCTCCCTGGATATTGGTCTCTCATCTGTCAACTTAGAAGTCTGGCAAGATGGTCTCCATGGGATCTGCCTTGTCAGACCAGCTTTAACTCAAACTTCTTTTGCCTCTTGAGATGTGTGTCCACCACTTCCAGTTTGTGTGTCCACCACTCCTCCTTTAGGAGGAGCCTGTTCCCTGGGACAGATCTATAGAAGTCAGCTTGCTATGGCTTCACAACACTGCCAGGCTGCTGTCCCTGGGAGCCCTCTGCATCCATGGGAGCAACAGAAACTGGGCAAAAGACTTGGAAGGCAGCTTTCGCCATGTTGCTGTACCCAGCATTTGTACCCTGGGCAAGGATTCAAGGAAAGGTTGAGCCCCTCAACCTGGCAGTTTTTTGGGTGCTCCCAGCTCACTTTCTGACACCCCAGACTCTGTCTGAAGCCTTATGGGCCCTAGCTCCCCAAAGGCAGCTAAAGGAATTTCCTCTCTACCGCAGACAGTGAATGCTTTCCTTCTTTCTGTTTTCCTTGACAGCTCCTAAGCTGGCCACAAGGACCCACTCCTTCCTCCAGCCTTTCTTCATGCCTAGAATAGTGAGGAAAGCTGTGGGTTAGCAGAACCACTAGAAGACGTCTGGGATCCAAGCTCTGCTCTGGACTTAGCCACGTGCCAGACTCAGGCAGGGAGGATCAATTTTCCCACAGCCCCTCCGTTAGGCTGACGCATCTTCCCAGTTGGCCCAGGACTGTCCTGGTTTTAGCACTGAAAAGCTTATGTCCTGGGAAACTTTTCAGTTCTGGATAAACTAAGACAGTGGCTCACCCTAAGTCCAGTGCCTCTCTTCTGTATAAATGGAGTTCTGCAAAATTCAGTGCACCCCCTACTCCTACTATCCTTCCTCAGTTTGATTGAGCTTAATGGAAGCACTCCCTGTTGCCCAGAGTTGGAGGAGGAAGGTCCTAGGAATTCTCAAGGTCTGAACTGTTTTGCAAAGGCTGTGACACCAGCAGATGCTGCCTTGCCCTTGAGGCCCTTATGGAGACAGCCCCTCCTTCCTCAGGGCCCGCAGCTGCCCTGGTTGCCACTTCTTCCCTGTGGTAGCTTCTGAGCCAGTAGCCAGGACAGCCCTCCCTCACCTCACCTAATGTTTTGAGCAAACAGCCTGGCCCTCCC